CCAGTGGTGCCACAATTGATATTGCCAATGCATTTTTCTCAGTCTCTTTGGCAGCAGAGTTCAGGCCAGTTTGTTTTCACTTGGAGGGGCGTCCAGTACACCTGGAATCAACTGCCCCAGGAGTGGAAACAAAGCACTACCATCTGCCATGGACTGATCCAGACTGCACTGAAACAGGGTGAAACTCTGGGACACCTGCAATACATTGATGATATCATTGTGTGGGGCAATACAGCAGAAGTAGTTTTTCAGAAAAGGAAGAAAATAGTCCAAATCCTTCTGAAAGCTGGTTTTGCCATAAAACAGAGGAAGGTAAGGGGGCCTGCACAGGAGATCCAGCTTTTAGGAATAAAATGGCAAGATGGATGTAATCAGATCCCAACAGACGTAATTAACAAAATAACATCAATGTCTCCATCAACTAACAAGAAAGAAACACAAGCCTTTTTAGGCATTGTGGAATTTTTGAGAATGCACATTCCAAATTACAGTCTGATTGTCAGCCCCCACTACCAAGTGACCCAGGATAATAATGATTTCAAATGGGGCCCTGAACAACAACAAGCCTTTCAACAAATTAAACAGGAAATAGTTCATGTTGTAGCTCTCAGGCCAATCCCGACAGGCCAAGATGTAAAAAATGTACTCTACACTACAGCTAAGGAGAATGGCCCGACCTGGAGCCTCTGGTAGAAAGCACAAGGGGAGACTCAAGGTCGACCCCTAGGCTTTTGGAGTCAGGGATACAGAGCATCTGAGGCCTGCTAAGCTCCAACTGAAAAAGAGATACTGGCAGCTTATGAAGGGGTTCAAGCTGCTTCAGAGGTGATTGGTATTGAAGCCCAGCTCCTCCTGGCACCTCAGTTACCCATGTTGGGTTGGATGTTCAAAGGGAGGGACCCCTCTACTCGTCATGCAACTGATGCTACATGGTGGGTCACACTGGTCATGCAACAAGCTCAAATGGGAAACCCCAGTCATCCAGGAATCTTGGAAGTGATCATGGACTGGACAGAAGGCAAAGATTTTGGAAAGTCACCAGAGAAGGATGTGACATGCTGAAGAGGCATGATTGTAAAAAAAAAAAAGTGAGAAGCAAAATGCCTTGTTTACTGATGGGTCCTGCCATATTGTAGGAAAGCATCAGACATGGAAGGCAGATGTATGGAGTCCACTACAACAAGTTATGGAAACTGCTGAAGGAGAATCATAGAATTATATAATCGTTTAGGTTGGAAAAGACCTTGTCTTGGTTTGAGACAATTTGGAGGGGCAGAGACCTCAGACAGAAGTCTCTTTCCTCGGATTCAATACCCCTGTTTTTCTCCAATTGATGCCTCAGAGGTTTTTGATTTTTTAATTTTTATAGATTTTAGAAGTAGATGTGTAGTGAATGTAGATTTTAATGTAGCTGACATTCTCTACCAGCATAATTAAGATGCAATCTTTTACTGTCTCACTGTATTATATCCCTCACCCTGTACCAGTATTTCCAGTAAAAGTAACTACAGCAGCATAATGTTTGCACATACCAAACCCCATCCCATATCAATCCCTCAAAATTCTGTTAGCTGTTTAGTCTTCTTTTCAAGGTAGAATTGCAGAAAAACACCTTAAGGCCTGCACCAGGAGATATAAATATAGGCACAGTGACCTTCAAGCCCAGAACTTTGGAGGAACTCCAAGGACTCAACGTGCTCTGAGGAAAATGAAAATGATGAAGAAGGGGTACCAAACTCCCCCAGACTCAATTCCCAAAGGGGTCTGCTGGGGGGCAGAACGGGGCAGAACCGGAGGGTGGACAAATTGGGATTGGATGGACTTTATTACAAAATCATAGAACCAGTGCACATGCAAGGGTATGTATTCCTGGGGCCTGAGGGCTCATTAAAGCTTCTGCTCTTCTTATCTTATCTCCTATACTAAATTGGCTTGGAGTCTTTTTTTCCACGGTCTTTTAGGCAGCACAATAAAGAGGAGACCAAATACACCCGGATGTAAGTGAAAAAATAACTCTTTACCAAGAAGAATGTTAATAACAATACTGATAAAACTGGGTTACGCTAACCAGTGAGGAGAAACTTCCCAAGCCCCCACCCACTGGACCAAAATGAAATGGTGGCCGGCCTCTCCCTACCTGGAAAAACTTGGCAGGAATGGTTGGAGAGTCAGCACTGGAGTGAGGCTGCAGTGCTGGTACAGGCAGTTGGAGTAGGGCTGCAGACCCCCCAGGCAACTGTAAGGACCCACAAGATACCTGTTGGATCCAGCAATGAGACTTGGTCATTGCAATTTCAATGTTTGTTGTTCAAAGTGGTGGTCACATTCCAGATCCGTTAAGGTGGTGGTAGAAGCCCCATATAGTGAGGGAAGAAGACCCCAGATGTTGAGTGAAGTCTGAGTGTGATCTTTTATTGGGCTCAGGGTAGGTGGGAATGCCTCCCCTTGGGCGGGGAGTTTTTCACTGGATGATGTAATACTAGATCATGGGACATTTCAGGAATCTTTGACACCTTCTAAGATGTTACAGCTGCCTGTTATGTCAGCACAGGTGGATCCATTATGGTCCATCAGCAGAGATGAACATCTTCAGGACATGTGTGTGAATTGTCCTGATGCTTCCCCCAAGGGGAGTTATCACAGATGAGTCATTTGTGTAAGGACAAAGAAACAACTCCCAGCTCATAGCCTGAGGTGGCAGGTGTGCACACCCTCAACACCTGGATTTTTTGAGTCGTCAGCATTCCAGTCTTTCACACTTGTGGATACATTCTTCTCCTAGGATAATAGTACCACCCTTATCTTAAATTCCCCGCCACAGTCTAAATTAGTAGGCATATTTGGGGAAAAGAGAAAAGAAAAGGTGGATACCAGAATCTCTGGGTAACCCAGGACAGACCTCTAAGATCATCGAGTCCAATCATTAACCTAGCACCTGCTGTGTTCACCACTGAACCATGTCCCCCAGTTCCACATCCACGCATTTTTGAACACTTCCAGGGATAGTGATTCCACCACTTCCCTGGGCAGCTTGTTTCAATGCCTGACCACCCTTTCAGTGAAGAAATTCTTCTTTGTATCCAATGTAAACCTCACCTGGCACAACTTGAGGCCATTTCCTCTTGTCCTGTCAGTTGTTACCTGGGAGAGGAGACAGACACTCATCTTGCTACAACCTCCTTTCAGGCAGTTGTAGAGACTAATAAGGTCCTCCTTTTCTCCAGACTAAACAACCCCAGTTCCCTCAGCTGCTCTTCATAAGATTTGTGCTCCAGACTCTTCACTGGCTTTGTTGTCCTTCTCTGGACAAGCTCCAGCACCTCAATATCTTTCTTGTAGTGAGAGGCCCAAAAATGAACGCAGGATTCAAGGTGCAGCCTCACCGGTGCCAAGTACATGCTATCCTGACAGTTCTAACAGTCCCCTTTTCACCCTTTGTAGCATATCCCTATCAGATGGTAAATTGGAATCCCATCCTGGCTCATTAGCTGGCGTAAATAGCTCAGCTTAATATTATCAAAAGAATCAGACTGTGGCCACTTTTGGTCTGCGTCACCAAAGGTAGTCACTTCTGACCAATTTTCCTGACATAGTTCTATAGCTTGGGCTTTTGACAACCCACCTGATCCATCAATAGATTCTCAGTGTTGCAACAATTCATTAATGAGTGATGACTTCATTATACTTTCTCCTCCTCCCATTATTATAAAAAAATCACCTTACCACCAAACAAGATCCACACTACATTACTCCTGCACCCGAGTATCTCGAGGTGAACTCACAGGCCAGGAGGGCAGATTGTTGGGATCCAGGCAGTAGTGAGATGTTGGATTGAGTGAGTTGGCTAAATCCCAACTGGGTTGCCAAACTGTCACAAAAATTTCACAACTGTCCCATGCTGACTGAGGAGAGAGGCTTGGACACAAATATAGAACTGCAAGAGTAATTCTGTATTCATGTACATGAGGTGTCCCATTCAAGTCAGGGCACCCTGAATGCGGTTTTACACGATTCTTAAAGTTTTCAAACATTCAGGTACAACACAATTTGGCCAATCACTACTTAACACACACACACACAACTATTTTGAAAAGCAACTATAATTCTATGTCGTCATCATCCACCTGCTTCTTTCTTGATCTAGGTATCCCTGGAGTTGGTCCTGCTACAGTTACTTGTCTGTGATGCAAGACAATGGGACGGTTTCACAGAGGTGTTTAGAGGGACTAGGATGCTGACATTATCTCAGTAGTCCAGGGATATCCTTTCTTCTTTGTGGATGGTTTTAAGTTTTTGAGAAACAAAAGGTCCTTATCTTCCACATGGGGGCTGTCCTTCTCCTTGCAGCGAGCTGGGGCCCTTTAGTTATGCTGACTAAACAATGTTTATGCAATATACAACGTAAAATATATATCTCTTAAAAAGCTAATACAATTTCATGCTATAAAGACAAATTGGTACAATTGTTAGGAAATACAATTTTCCTAACAAAGCTTCTCCTGTTGCTCTTGACATTTCTTGCAAGTCTCAACTCCAATAGAGTTTTAACTTTCTTGATACCATCCCTACATGCCTGGGCAATGTTTCTCAGTTTCTCCTCTGTAGCTTGTCTCTGCTTTCATCCTCTGCATGCTGCTTTTATGTATTGGAGTTTCATTATTAGTGCCTGTCCTAGTTAGAACAGCTGGGGCCAGTTCATCACTGTGTGGGTGTAACCCAAACTGTGTATTCTACACCCTCCATGTCATTTCCCAGAAACTGTTACCAATAGACCATTTGCAGCAGCTGCCCAGAGCACACCTGACCCCTCAGGCTATAAGCTGGGTGTTAAGAGGCCCGTGAGATAGGAGGATGTTCCTGTTCTCACACCCACGAGTCACAATCACCCATTGTGGAACTCCCCGCCCTGAGGGAGGTACTGGGCATTCCTGCCTGAACCTGAGGGTATATAACCTTGGGGTCTTGGGACTTCTGGTACCACTCGTGGGATCCAGAGGAGTACCAGAACCTCAACCAGACTGTGACTACCACTCTCAACTGGACTGCGACCACCACTCTCAACCGGACTGCGACCACCACTCTCACCAACAGGTTTTTCCTCTCCTTTTGCTTTTGGACTCAGGGGACCATGTGGGGCTCAGCACGGGGGCCAACGAACACCATTCTGTTCATGCCCCAGAGTGCCAGGTTATGCATCTGGGGTTTTGTGGGCTAAAACCAATTGTTCGTCTGTATAATTGTATTTATTGTATTATTTTTATTAAATTGTAACTCTGATTTATAATCTCTTTTGTGTTGGGTTCATTTCTCCTGCCAGTTTACCTTTAAACCAGCACAGTTTTGGCGCCCAACGTGGGCCACAAGAGAGAAGTCAGAATTACAATTTCATTTTAAGCATTTGTGTATTTGGATACAGAAACTCCCTGATCACCATGTTGCTTGATGTATTCACGTGGATGTTGTATCTGAACCTGTTCATATTTCCACAGATGGGGAACTATTTGCCTATTTTGATGCTCTCTTTAGGACCAGAGAGAAGTGATGCCCGCTCTGCTGGTGCTACGAAAAAAAATCTAGGAGCCGTTTAGCTGGGGTGAGATAAGAAAGGGTTTAATTATGCCAAGGCAAAAAGATGTTACACGGCGCGCGCCGGGCTGTGCCCAAGATGTTACATTTATAGCAATATCTGGCCAATCCCAAGTGTGTCCATCCTCTAACTTTTGGCCTGGTCCACCCCCTGGCCCGCCTCTCGGAATTGGGTCTGGGGTGCTTTTTGGGACCCCCTCTTCATCATCTTCATCATCTTCAGCGTACAGAGAGCAGGGTGACCCAGTTCTTTGACTCTGTCCTGCGGTTAGGCCAAGATACAAGCGTTCTCCAAACAAGACAGGCTTGCCTTGACTAAAAGACTAAACATTTTCTACTAGATATGGGGGTATGAAATGGGGTGAAAGGATTAAGGAATGTATAAACTAAGGGATTCTACGGGGAGGAGGGAGAAAGGGGTTTATTTCTAAAATCTACTTCTATTACCTATAAAACTTGTAAGGCTTACAAAATTAGAAAAATGAAAAAACATTAGGGGTTTAAGGCATCAGAAGGATCAAAATTGCTTTATTAATATACTATGTTTATGTCGTCATAACATCAGAAGCAGTGAGTTTCATTGTGAATGTGTATTCAGTCTTGTTTTCCTGTCCTGGTTTGGGTTACTACCTCTGGGGCTGCATTAAAAATCTCACCCAGCCTTTTGGGGGAACAGGAGGGAATGGTTCTTTCCAGCCTTTCACCTTCTTCTCCTCCTTCAGACCTGCTACAACAGTCTTTGAAAATACTGAGTTTCCTTTTGATGTTAAAGACAGCGTAGTGTTGTTGTTAGTGTTGCTTTGTCTGCTCTGTACTGCCTACACCATGCTTAGGGTCAGAACAGGGCCTTCTAGGGAGGTTGTCTGGAGGCCTGCCCTGGGAGTGGATAATGTTGAATGGCACGGGAAGTGTGTGCTGGTTTAAAGGTTAACCAGCAAGGGAAAATGAACTCAATTCAAAGAGAGATTTATAAGTCAGAATAACAATTTATTAAAATAATGCAATAAGTACAATTATACAGACAGACAATTGGTTTTAACCCACAAAACCCAAATGTATAAACCAGCACCCTGGGGTATGAACAAGAGTGGTGTACCTTGGCCCACCCCCGAGTCCAAAGCAAAGGGAGAGGGAATAAACCTGCTGGTGGGAGAGCTGCTGCAGTCTGGTCAGAAGTGGTGATTGCAGTCCAGTCAAGGGTGGTGGTCTCAGTCTGGTTGAACGCGGTGGTCTGCAATCTTCCTCTGGATCCCACGAGAGAGAGTCCAAGGCTCTGAAACTCCCAGTTATATACTCTCCAGTTCAGGCGGGAGTGCTCAGTCCCTCCCTCAGAGTAGGGAATTCCATAAAAGGGTACAGGAACATCTTCCCACCTTGCAGGCCTCTACTGACAGCAGTTTTTGGGAAATGGCATGGAGGCTATAGAATACACAGTTTTGGGTTACACCCATCCAGGGATGAATTGGTCCCAGCCGTTCTAACCAGGACAAAGTGGAAGGACATTGGCCAGTATTTGGAGAAGTTCTCTCCTCCAATGATCTGGAAATTCATCCCTGAACAACTGCAGGATTCTGTTACAGTGATAAGATTAGTGAAGGAAAAATGTTCTGGCAGCTCCAGAGATGGCCAGCCCACAGCAACCTGCTGGGCCCTGGCCACTGCCTACTGGACACTACTTGACATGGTACAGCACTGTCAGGGGGAGAAGAGAAGGAGCAAATCCACAGGCACCATGTCCACCCAAACCACGTCTGAGTCAGAGGGAAAAAGAAATAAATCAACCAGCACCGCATCCACACAAACCATCGAGGAGCCAGAAGGACAACCGAAACCAATAGCAGTCGCCCCTGTCCAGAAAAGGAAATCAAAGACTAAATCAGTTCGCATAGTGAATGATGACGAAGAGGCAGGGCCTTCACATCCTCCAGAGGAGACAGAGCCAGAAATAATCACTTGATCCCTATCCCTGGGTGAGCTATGTGAGTTCCGGAGAGAGTTCACGCGACAGGCGAATGAGTCCATTCTGACCTGACTGCTCTGAATCTGGGACGCTGCAGCTAATGATACAATTCTAGATGGGAATGAAGCAAGGCAACTGGGATCCCTGTCTTGAGATGTAGTCATTGATCAGGGGATTGGAAAGAGGCAGGAAACTCTCAGCCTCTGGCAACGACTGCTGTCCAGTGTGAGGGAGAGATATCTTTGCAAGGAGGACCTCCACGTACAGCAAGGACAGTGAAACATGATTGAACAAGGTATCCGGTGCTTAAGGGAATTAGCCATACTGGAGATAATCTTTTCAGAGGACGAAAGATCCCCTAAAAGTCCAGACGGTGTACAATGCACACCCCAGATGTGGTTAAAGTTTGCATGGCTCGGGCCAGAAATGTATTCCTGCTACTTAGCAACGTTGCAATTGAGAGAGGGAGAGGACAAGGTGGGTGCATTGGTTAGTAAAGTCAGGATTTATGAAGACACTGTCACCGCCCCATTACGAGCCCATGTCTCATCTGTGGAAACCAAACTGGTCGAACATGTCTGAAGCCTGGAAGAGAAGATTGAAGAGGGCCACCAGAAGCTAAGAGAGGAAATTAAGGAAGGGATCTTCCATATCTCGCCAGGACAAACAAGAGTCTCCGCTATCAGGAGCAGGCGTCCCCCAGCTAAGGAGAGAGGGTACACTCCATGTGGCAATCTATGGTTTTACCTCCATGAGCATGGAGAAGATATGAGGAAGTGGGATGGAAAACCCACCTCTTCCTTAGCAGCCCGGGTACGTGAATTGAAAAGAGGAACAAGTACCACAAGGAACTCTTTGAGGATAAATGCTGCTCTGGTCTCTTGTGGGCAAGACTCCAGACGGTACAGGAATGATGATATGTCTGATCCTCTTGAAGGGACCTTCAGGTCATACTTACAAAAAGAGCACAGTGAGTATCATGACCAGGACCAGGGGTGCCCTGCCTCTAGCCAAGTAGAGGAGAGGGACAATCAGGTCTATTGGACTGTGTGGATTTGGTGGCCTGGCACATCAGACCCACAAAGATACAAGGCTTCAGTGGACACTGGTGCACAATGTACTTTGATGCCATCAAGATATGTAGGGGCAGAATCCATCTCTATTTCTGGGGTGACAGGGGGATCCCAACAGCTGACTGTACTGGAAGCTGAAGTGAGCTTGACTGGGAAGGAATGGCATAGACACCCCATCATGTCTGGCCCAGAGGCCCCGTGTATCCTTGGCATAGATTACCTGAGGAGTGGGTATTTCAAAGACCCAAAAGGACTTCATTGGGCTTTTGGCATAGCTACTGTGTAGACAGGGGAAATTAGGCAGTTGAACACCTTGCCTGGTGTCTTGGTTCGAGTTGCCCCCCCCGGGAGCCGGGGGGCCTAGAAGCCTAGATGTGATTGGATCCCGGGACAGTCTCCCCTGAGGAACCAATCACAGCTCTTCTTGTTCGCTCCTGGAAAATTAGATATACACAACAACCGGAAACTGTTGGCAGTCTGTCTGTGTGTGTGAGAGTGTGAGAGAGAGAGAGAAGCCGAGGGGTGGCCAAAGCCCCCTCCCCGAACTCGGGTGGGGACCCTGGGCCCCACAGGCCTGGCTAAGCCAGGGCTGGAGACGGTTTGGAGTGTTGTGAGGGAGAGAGAGACTCACAACCGTTGAGGTAAGAGGGAGAGAGGCAAGCCCCTCATGAGGAGGCCAAGCCCTCTTCTCCCCCCTGCAGCCAGACTGCAGAGCTCGGGACAGCTCATAACTGGACCGAATTCCTGTAGCTGGCTAGGGGGCTTTTTCACCCCCACTGTAGGTGGGGGGTGGATGTAAGGCTTAGTATTTTAAGCTGAGCCAAAGAGGACGGGCTGAAAAGAAAGCTCGGTTGCCAGGAGAAACAGTTGCGACTCGTTGCAATTAGCTGGAAGAACTCCAGGCAGAAACTGGAGACGGGCCAAAGGGGCTCAGGAGTTGCCCCTGCAGTGATTTAAATGGGGGGCAGCTGAAAAACTGATGGAGGAGGAATGAATTCCAGGGCACGTGCACGTGATAAGCTGAGCTGAACTACAGCAGCTACAGAACAGAGGGAGAGAGAGTCACACAGCAGAGATGGCACTGAACCAAGGAGAAAGGACTCAGAGCTATCTTCTTGGACTTCATGATGAAGAGAAGACCCCAGAAAAAAGTTGGAGGGTGGGGGGGGGGGGTGATCAGAGAAACCCTTCTCCCTGATACCCCAAAGAGAGAAAGACTGTGCAACTATCAGCCTGAGGGCTTCTGAACTGATTGTGGGAGAGGCTCGAAGGGGTGGTATAAGTGTGTTAATATTGTGTATATATAGTTGCTTTTAGTTTGTACAGTATTTATTTTGTATAGGAATAAACTGTATATATTTCCCTTCCCCCATACAGAGGTGTGCCTGCCTGAAAATTTCTCTTCGGTGTTGAGGTAAATTGTGGGGAGGTGAGGGAAGCTTGGAGATTGGATTTTTGTGGGGCAAAACCTCCACACCTGGTCTCTCAGAGGACCCTTCTGCTGTGGGACTGCTGAAGGTTGAAGAACAATTGGTACCGATGGCCACAACAACAGTACACCATTGGCAATACCGCACTGACCGAGACTCCGTGACTCCTATACATAAGATGATCCGCGAACTGGAGACCCAGGGGGTGGTCAGCAAGACTCGCTCACCCTTTAATAGCCCTATACGGCCAGTGCATAAGTCCAGCAGAGAGTGGAGGCTGACAGTGGATTACCATGGACTCAATGAAGTCACACCACCCGAGTGCTGCTGTGCCGGATATGCTGGAGCTTCAGTACAAGCTGGAGTCCAAGGCAGCCAAGTGGTATGCCACCACTGACATTGCTAACATCTTTTTCTCCATTCCTTTGGCAGCAGAGTGCAGGCCACAATTTGCCTTCACTTGGAGGGGTGTTCAGTACACCTGGAATCGACTGCACCAGAGGTGGAAACACAGTCCCACCATTTGCCATGGACTGATCCAGACTGCATTGGAAAAGGGTGAGGCTCCAGAACATCTACAGTACATCGATGATATCATTGTATGGGGGAACACAGCGGGGGAAGTCTTTGAGAAAGGAGAGAAGATATTCCAACGGAAGTGATTAACAAAATAGCAGCCATGTCCCCATCAACCAGCAAGAAGGAAACACAGGCTTTCCTAGGTGCTGTGGGCTTTTGGAGGATGCATATCCCTGAGTACAGTCAGATTGTAAGCCCTCTCTACCTTGTGACACGGAAGAAAAATGATTTCCAGTGGGGCCCTGAACAACAATAAGCCTTTGAACAAATTAAACAGGAGATTGCCCATGCAGTAGCCCTTGGGCCAGTCAGGACAGGACAGGACATGAAGAACGTACTCTACACTGCAGCTGGGGAGAATGGCCCTTGCTGGAGCCTCCGGCAGAAAGTGCCTGGGGAGACCCGAGGACGACCGCTGGGATTCTGGAGTCGGGGATACAAAGGATCTGAAGCCAGCTATACCCCAACTGAGAAAGAGATCCTGGCTGCTTATGAAGGAGTTCGAGCTGCCTCAGAAGTGATCCTGGCACCCCGACTACCAGTGCTGGGCTGGACGTTCAAAGGAAAAGCTCCTTCTACACATCACGTCACCGATGCCACATGGAGTAAGTGGATCGCTCTGATCACACAGCAAACCCGGACAGGGAATCCTAATCGCCCTGGGATTCTGGAAATTATCACCAGTTGGCCCAAAGGTGAGAGTTTCGGACTATCCTCTGAAGAAGAGGAGCAGGTGACATGGGCTGAGGAGGGCCCACCATATAACCAGCTATCAGAAGACGAAAAGCAATATGCTCTCTTCACGAATGGCTCCTGTCGCATTGTAGGGACAAACCTGTGTTGGAGTTTCATTATTAGTGCCTGTCCTAGTTAGAACAGTTGGGACCAGTTCATCACTGTGTGGGTGTAACCCAAACTGTGTATTCTACACCCTCCATGTCATTTCCCAGAAACTGTTACCAATAGACCATTTGCAGCAGCTGCCCAGAGCACACCTGACCCCTCAGGCTATAAGCTGGGTGTAAAGAGGCCTGTGAGATAGGAGGATGTTCCTGTCCTCACACCCACGAGTCACAATCACCCATTGTGGAACTCCCCGCCCTGAGGGAGGTACTGGGCATTCCTGCCTGAACCTGAGGGTATATAATCTTGGGGTCTTGGGACTTCTGGTACCACTCGTGGGATCCAGAGGAGTACCAGAACCTCAACGAGACTGCGACCACCACTCTCAACTGGACTGCGACCACCACTCTCAACCGGACTGCGACCACCACTCTCAACCGGACTGTGACCATCACTCTCACCAACAGGTTTTTCCTCTCCTTTTGCTTTTGGACTCAGGGGGACCACGTGGGGCTCAGCACAGGGAGGGGGCCCCAATGAACAGCATTCTGTTCATGCCCCAGAGTGCTGGGTTATACATCTGGGGTTTTGTGGGCTAAAACCAATTGTTCGTCTGTATAATTGTATTTATTGTATTATTTTTATTAAATTGTAACTCTGATTTATAATCTCTTTTGAGTTGGGTTCATTTCTCCTGCCAGTTTACCTTTAAACCAGCACAGTGCCCTATACTTTTGCAGAGCTTGCTGTCTTTCAGCACAGTATAATTACATTTACCTGAAAATTTTATCTGTCTGATAGAGGCTGTTGGGTCTCAGGAGACATCCCTCTGACAAATAAGGAAAGAGATCAGCTCTAGAAGGCATGTCAGACAAAAAGGTTTTTTCTAATGATTTCAGTAAAGCCATACCTTCCAATTCTAGCTGTTTTTTTCAGATTAAATGGTTTAAAGAGGCCCAGAAATATATGCCCAAATATGTTGTAGTCTCAGAAAATCAATAAAATATGGTAGAAACTGCATTTAAGCAAAGTTGAATTATCCAGACCATTTATCTAAAGCAACTTTGAATTTTACAGATCTTCTATTCCTAAGATACATGTACTAATGTAAGCATGGTATGTTTATCTTCAATTTCCTAGAAATACTACCTTACAAACATTTTAATTGCCTTTAATTTACTTTGACAAAGTAATCACTCTCCTCTACCTACTGACAGTGGTTTGAAGCTATAAGCTACCCTGTGCTGCTCTCACAGTGAGGAAGAAGTCTGAAATAACAAGCTTTATTCTTTCCTTTGATTTCTTTTTCCTGTTCCCATGCTCTACAGGCTTACACACCCTTCAAACTCCTTCTCTCCACAGTGATGTAATCTTTTTGTCACTCTAGGTCAGTGTTACATCCTCTGAACATGTAATTTTATCAACATCCAATAGGCACAAAGTCTGATCTAAAGTTTGGCCATGCAAAAATATATAAATACTTAATCATGAGGTTCAGTGACCCACAAATTTGCAAATCTGAATGCAGATCAAGGTTTGGATTTCAAGTTTACCCTATGTTTATAGGTGGTCACAACCAATAAAATCTGTGAGAAAAACAACAAACCTTCAGGTAGACCATAGAACAAAGAGATTTTATCCCATATACAACAAATCCCTTCCTGTCCCAATTGTCTGGAAAACATGTTTCAATATGATATCTTTATATACTGTAGAGATTCCTTTGCTTTTAGCAAATACTGTTTATAAACATTCAAAATTTTAGAATTTTAAATCAATAAAACTCTCAAGAAATTCTTTATACTACAGTCTCACAGAAAAAAAACTCCACCATCAAGCACAGAATTACCCTATTTCTTTTAAAACTGAGTTATCACTGCAGATAATTCATTATCAGATAACCTTTTTTTTTTTTAAAGTAGACAAGTAGCCAACTAGTGCCTAATAGTTGTTTAGATATAAAAGTGTAAGTAGACAATAGAAAATGAATCCAGAAGACAGATAAAACAGGAGTGCAAGGTTAAAAAATACTAATGGCTGCTTGTGATGGATGTGAGTGAACAGTACTTTGGTTCAGGCATCACCAACAGCTCGGCCTCAGGGAAATCATCCTTAATGTGCAGACCTTGAGAATTGTGCTAGGTCATATCTTCTCAGGAACTAAGGAGTCTATCAGGAGCTAACAACACCAGCCTGAGCTGGGACTAGACAAAACTAAAACTGCTCCAACTGCACTCCTGCACATACACCAAAAGGGGGTTTGCCTACAAGTCAATCACTTTATACTATAAATATCTGTAGCCCCCTTAAACCCATTGAGCTCTCCTGTATGGCAGCAGGCTGTATGGCAATAATCTCCCCCTTGAGCAGGGATGCCTGTTAAGATTACTCCTCGCAGTTGAGAGACCCCTTACCCAGCATCTGATATCTATAATGGGGTAAGCAACATTTTACATTAGGCCTAAAAGCATACTGTATGCTAGCAACATTTATATATCCAGCTGTAGTTTACTTTTTAAAAGTGTAGTAAGTACTAGTGTTTGACTGCTATCAAAATCATCATCTAACCACTGTCTAAATTATTGTTTAAATCATTATTATTTAAATAGTTGTCAAATCATTCTCAAATTACCATTCAATTATTGCTTAATCATAATTTGATTTTTATTTAATTTTTATTCAATCATTAATTAACTATCATTTGATCTTCGTTTAATCATTAATAAAACCCTTTTAGTTAACCCCACAACGATGACTTCTCTTGATAATTCACCTATGACACCACTACAGGTTCAAGTTTAAATGGAAACGTTAATTAAAGGCGGAGGCGTCTGTTATTAGGGCAAGCGGAGGGGGAAAGGCTTTGTTTTCTCTGCGCGCAGCTCCATCTTACTTCCGTGGGCGGGGTGAAGCCGTGCGAGACGGTTGTCACTGCTCCTTCCGTTTCCCCACCACTGGGAGAGCAGATGACGTGCGGGGTCTCTGTCCATTCCTGTATAGTCCCTAGTCTCGGGGAGGGGGAGGTTCGTGACTCCGCAGGCAAATGCGGCGGTACTGTGAGCCGCCTCGCAAATATCTCGTCCTTTCTTTCCCCTCCCGTGGGAGCGCGCTGGCGTGTAGGCCTCAGCAACAGCCAGGAGGAGGCGGAGCTGACGCGAGCGGACCGGCGGGTTCAGGTCCCTCCTTCCTCCACCCTTCTTCCTCAATTCTTTCTTTTTCTTGCGCCTTCCTTTAGTCTTTCTCCTGTGCGTCGCGTGTTTCATTCCGCGCCGCTGCCGCAGAAAGGAAGCGGTGGTGGCACCACCAGCTTCGTGCCCCACGTCCTCTTGCCCTTCGCTCTCCTAGAAACAGTCTGAAGCCATCTGCAGCGTCTCGGACATCCGCCGTGGGGTTTCTCGCTCCACCCCCTGCCTGGAGCAGGTACACGGACACTGAAGGGTGACAGGGGGAGGATGTGGACTTGATTTCTGAGAGCTGTTAGCGCGGTGGCGGTGTGACCAGAGGAGCGGCGCGGGGGGTGCTTGGGCCTCCCCGAGGCGTTTTTGCTGCCTTTCGCGAGGCAAGAAGTGGCAGGGCGTCTATCGTTTTACCTGGCGGACTCTTTCCCTCTGACGTGACGGGTGCTGCGGTGGGAGGCCGCTGGCCAGGATGGCGTACATCTTACTCCCTCCTCAGTGGGGCAGACAGGGAGCGAGACAATAAGGCTTCCTTGGTCCTCGCTGAGAGAGGAGCTGGTTTTTTGTTTGTTTTACCTCCTTAGGCCGGCAACTTCCACGTCTTTTGTGTTTTGGTGTCCTGGGGGAGGGCGTGGGTCTGTGGAGGCAATGGCGACTAAAACGTACCACGCTTTGAGCACTTGGTGGTGCCTCCCTTTTTGTCTGGATTACTGAGCTGCATTTAATTGTCACTGGGAAATGCCTGGGTTTGATCCGCATTTATTTCTTCTTTTTGCTTCACCTAGAACACTGTTAGAGAGGCGTATACCTGGAATATCTTTGTTGTTTTTGTTTGGTTTGGGTTTGGTTTTTTTATGGTCCATTTTCTAGACAGGGATATTCAGATTAATAATTATTTATTTAACCAGCCAGTTTAGCCCCATCACTGACTCAATTCTAAAGTTTTATTATTGATTTAAAATTAGTATTTGTATTCCCTTTATTATATTAAGTAATTAATTTAATCGAGTACCTAAAGGGGGCCTCTGAGAAGGCTGGAGAGGGACTTTTTACAAGGGCATGGAGTGATAGGACAAGGAGGAATGGCTTTTAACTGAAAGAGGGTATGTTTAGATTAGATATTAGGAAGGAATTCTTGACTGTGAGGGTGGTGCGACACTGGAACAAGTTGCCCAGATAAGTTGTGGATGCCTCATCCCTGGAAGTGTTCAAGGCCAGGTTGGATGGGGCCCTGAGTAACCTGGTCTAGTGGGAGGTGTCCCTGGCCATGGCAGGGGGGTTGGAACTTAGGTGATCTTTAAGGTCCTTTCCAACCCAAACCATTCTATGAGTCTATGAAATATTAGGGTAACTTGAAGTGCTTTAATTATGCACTTTACATAGTTCCTAAGTTGTAGTTTCTTGAAAGTGCACTTGGTGTGCATGAAAGCTTAATTATATTTTCCACTCAAATAATCTAAATATCTGCTGTTATTAGAGTTGACTATGCCTCAGTTGTAATTTGGGACTAAAAAGATGTTTTAGTTATGAGACTGTTAACTTTAATAATAACAAAGTATTTATGTTCCACTTTTAGTTTGCCTGGGTAAACTTGCCAATAACTGTGAAGGTCAGTGGTGTAAATTACTGTTTGAGTTAACACGCTGAATAAAATAGTTCCTTTTTATATTGGGAGGTCAGGGTTAAACATGGACATCTCTGAGGGTTAAGACTTGCTCTTTTTGGGCCTAGGAGAGTTCATTATATTTTTTGCAAAGGTTTGGTTATAATCACTCAACTAAAAGGTTGGGGAATGTATTTGTAAGGTTGTGAGAGCGTAATAATGTTAGGTCTCTGATCATAGCCAGTTTTTTGTTCTTGCTGTGAAATAGAGATGAAAATGTCTGAGATAATGCAGCATCATGAGGCAGTTTTCTTGATTGAATTTAAGTATCTGCACTCCTTTTTCCTCTAGAAAAGAAGCTGTAGTCATGTTAATTGAATTTCATATTTTTCTCTTACAGTGGGTGCATGCTTGGCTGCTTCAGTTCTGTGGGTTGTTGGAGTTGGCAGCCTTCAGAGATATAAATAGGAGCTGATTTCTGAGGCCCCTGTTGACAAGGTTTTGTGTCTGAGCCTTTAGATTAGTCTGTCACACTGCAGCCTTGTGACAGGCAAAAGCTAATGTGCTCAACCATGTGACCCAAGTTTCTGAGAAAAGTTTGGGAAAGCAGATACATAGTGGTATTAGCTTGTTTTTCAGAGTAGTAGAACTGAATTTGTAAGGCCTTAGGTACTTAGTGAT